GGGGAGGGCTGTGCAACACAGAGAAGACAAGTAGTGATTCTACAGCATCTTACTACGCTGATGGACAGTACTGTAATGGGGTTTGTGGGGGGGATTTGAAGGGGGGACCCTAGTAAACATAATATTCTTCATGTAATTGTAGATTGATGACAACAAAATAAATTAATTAATTAAAAAAAAAACAACGAAATGGTGCCGGCCTAGGATTTTACTCAGGTCAAAAGGTAGCAGGTTGAAAGATCTTTTTCTTCTTTCAGAGACACATTCTTCAAAAATAAGACTTTCTGCCCACATACAACTCACTGGCCACATCACAATTTCATGCTCCCAGAGGGGAAGGGCTTCATGTGCAAGAAGTCAAGAGCTCCCATGCCATGTATTTCAAGTCTAAATTCTCAAAACCCACCCCCAAAAAGAAAACACGATTGCTCTCTGGAGGCTCAAGACCATGGCCTAGATACTTAGCAGCCATAGTTCCCTCTTTGGTGAAAGAGCAGAAATCCCTCCTAAGCATGACCCACATCAGAGCTGAGCTGCACACTGCAGAGGGAGCTCACCTGTTCCCAATCTTCTTCTTACACACCATGCACACCTTCTCCTCCGTGATGATGCACTTCACCTGCTGATGTAAAATCCGCTCTTCCTGGACCTGGGAGAGCAGAGAGGTTGGGGGAGAAGTCCCACCATCCAGCACACAGAACAGAAGGCAGAGGCTGGCATTGTCTCATGTCCCAGCTTGCAAAGATGCCTCTAATTGAAACACTTGCAATCAAATGTCAGTTGGTTACTAGATCAGCTTGTGCTATAGTGTTAAGGGAACACAGAGCTCTGCCTTTGTCTATAGGGTATATGTGGTAGCTCTCTCACACTAAAAATTGCAACTCTGCCCAAGAGCATAGGTTCATACCCTCAGGAATTCTGCATGGAGAAGGTTCTTGAGCACTTGATTGAACCGTTTCTTTTGTGCATTTTCTTCCAAGACTTTTTCCAGAAAGATGCGTATGTCATTAATTTGAGTGTTTGCTGGCAGAAGGTTGATGGCCTAGGGATAGGAACAGAGATGGGAACTAGGTGAGGTGGAAAAGGAGACTGAGGAAATGTCAGGGCTCCAGGCCTCAGTCCCTTTCTCCATCCCTCTGCTCCTTCAGTGCTCCCCACAAGTGCACTTCTCCGTCTTTCCAAGAAGCACTCCTGACCTTGGTGGTATCCAGCTTGCTATGGTGCAGCTCGAGGACCTGCAGGGCGGCCTGGAGATTGGCTTGTGGCTCCAGCAGTTCCAGTTTTATTGGCCCCAGGCAGTGAACACTGGGAGGTGACAGGTACATCCGGAGCAGGGACAGATACACCTATCTCATACAGGTACAAGGCATGCGTCAGGCTGGCAGCAAGCCTCCCAGAACCCCCCAGAAGGGCCACACCTAAACATAAGAGCAGTCGGTCTACAGTAACAGCCACCAAGAAGCACTTACGACTCAACCATTTTCACCTTTTAAAAGATTTTGGTAAAGTCAAACAACCCAGTGAAGACGTTAAAAATTAAGGGTTGTGTTTTCTCTGAGAGAAAAAAATCATATGCCTTTTATTTGTTTAGCATAATACAGTTAACCCTTGAACAACACAGGTTTGAACTACACAGCTCCACTTACAATACAGATAATTTTCAATAAATATATTGGAAAATCTTTTTGGAGATTTGCAACAATCTGAAAAAGCATTTTCTTTTTCTAGCCTACTTTCTTGTTAGAAGACAGTATATAATACACATAACATGCTAAACGTGTTGATCGACTATTTGTTCTGGTAAGGCTTCTGGTTAATAGTAGGTTATGAGTTAAGTTTCTGGGGAGTCAAAAGTAACCTGCAGATTTTTTACTGCACTGGGTGGGGCTCAGCACCCCTAACCAAGGAACAACGGTACTGTTGACAAAATGCCAACACCGCAAAATAACTCAAAAGATCTCCTACTTTCTTTGGCTTTGAGGCTGAGACCCTGTCACATTTTGGCAAGTGGATTAACCCAAAGGAGATGCTGCCTTTTCTACTTATACCTACACTACCACAGGGTCTCAACTTCAGCACCCAACATTTTGGGCTGGATAACTCTCCACCAGAGCTGTCCTAGTGCTGTTTGGTAGCAACTCTGGCCTCCCCTGCTTAGATTCCAGCAGCACCCACACCCCCAGTGATGACAATCAAAAATGTCTCCAGACATTGACAAATCCATATGCATTCTGACAAAGCACATATGTGCACCTTTTCAGAACGACCAGCTCTTCCTTCCCAATAGGCTGACCACATCATTTACTATACAAGTCTCTCCAGAGTAAAGGGCAGGGTGTAGTCACACCAATGACAGCAGATCTAAGCTGGAAGGATCCCAAGCAACCAGGATATATGGCTCCCTGCCAAGCAATAAACAGGCTTTTGTCTGCCTCAACATGCACAGGCAAAACTGAACAGTGCCTTGATACATGGCCTGTCTTATCTCAGCAATTCATACCAGTGGTACCTGTGGCCAAAGCAGAGGGGTTAGGTGTGCTAAGAGGGACAGCCGAGTGCAGTATGCTTCCTGGGTCACAACTTACATCTTTGTAGCCATCTTTGCTTTGGTCATAATGCTTGTGGCAGTACCTGCAAGGGAAAAAGTGGTGAGACGAGACCAGGGGGGCCACATCTAGAGAAAGGTCGTGGATGCTGCCATGTGAGCAGCCTAACGAACACCAAAATCAGGGGTCAGGACAGGAGGGCTTGTCACTCCTGCAGCAGAGTGGAGGGGAGGTGGCTTTCTAGGCCTCTCACGCCTCTCCTGTCTGGGAGGCCTGCTTGTAGACCCACTGGGAGGTGGGATGACAGGGTCAACATACTCCTCAGCCATCCTTGTATCCTTCAGGATGTGGACATAGATGAAGAGAGCTTGCTCATGTTTCCCCATGCGTCCCAGCAGGAGAGCACGTTCTTCCAAGAGGCCTGTGAGGAAAAAGGAAGATAAGTAACTATCTCTACAATTATGTAATTACTTATATTCCTTAGCTATTATAGGAATGGATATTGGGGCAAAATTAATTGGGAGAAAGTATTTTACTACTTTGGATATTTTCAAGGATAAAATTACAAAAATTTAAACAAGGGTAGAGGGAGCTATTTTAGGAGGTTATTTAACCCATCTTTTTGGTGACCATTTATTAACTGGGTAGAAATGCTCACTGAGTAGCCAAGTGCATGGTACGCACCTACAGTGTGGCCTGATGTTCAGCTAAGGTAAGCAAACTGCTCTCCCAGAGCTTACACACCAGACAGATGTGCATCTTTCTCAGACAAAAACTATGATGTGCTATAAATACTACTAAACAATGAATTTGGCCAAGAACATGTACTGAAGCAATGAACAGGTTTTAACCTGGCTATCAATTAGCATGTGGTTTACACCAAAAAAGGGACTCCATTCAGTCCTAGTAGGGAAGTGAGTCTTTAGCTGGGTCAGAACAGGAGCACTGGCCTGAAACCTGCAGTTTTTCCCAGGCCCAACTTTCTGGAAGGCTGGGGAAGTGGGAAAAGGGAAAGATCAGGTTTTGCATTACTGTCAGCTGAAGTGGTTTCTCACTATGAGCCAGACACTCACCATCAAAAGGAAAGTCACAGATGAGCCGGGCTGGATCATAGTAGCCGGAAATCTCCAAGAACATAAGGAGCTTCTGTCGGTATTCTCCCAGCTCACCTTTCTCCTCTCCAGCAGGGACTGGAGTTTTGCCTTTAAAGGAAAACAAGCTCAACGTGAAATGACACTGTTGGGCAGCCATGTGGGGTCAAGAAAAATGAAGGGAGGAGGTTCAATGACGTCACCACAATAATCAGAAAGAGAAGAGCTCTGTGGTAGTTTCCAGTATGACTTTTCCTAGTTTATGATCCCTACAGGGCTCCCAAACATCAGCTGGAGGTAAAAAGCAAGCTGCACAGAGAAACACTCTGGTAGCAAACATGTTTCTTATCAGCACAGCTGTCAACTGCAGGCAGATGTGTTCCTCGCTGTGCCCACGCATGATATGCAAGGATGCCCAGAACCAGACAAGAGCTCCTGAGTCCACTTAGCTGCCGTGACTACTCTGAGGAGCTTCCCACCCATCTGGGTCCTCAAAGGAGGGTGAAGACAGCTTCCCTACATCACGCACGGCACCCCTGGGTCCCAGCTCGCCTCCGAGGCTGGAGGCCACCTGGCTTTCTGTGAGAACTGGTACCTTCAGGGAAGGACAGCAGATACTCCTTCATCAGACCTTGCACCTTCTCACAGTACAGCTGGATTAGGCAGTTGTGGAACCGAGAGCCTGTCTCCTCCCAAACGTGGATGATATGTTCCTGAGGGGAGACACGGGTTGGCCTGGTACTGTCTATGCTGTGACCCAGTCTCCCTCACATGGTTAAGGCCCTAAAGGTCCCATCCAGATTGTTCCCTAAGTAATCTGCAAAGATTAGCAAGATATAGCTCTTCTAAAATCACTGGGAAATTTTGCAATATAACCCAGTAACATCAGGAATTGTTTTCTTGATTTCCAATCTAAGCTCTTTATTAATTTTGTCCTATTATCCTCTAGACTCTCACACCAGCACATGTAGTTAAAGCTAAATAGTTAATTTAAACTTAAATGGTGCTTAAACCAGTTTGGTTGTCTTGTGGCCACAGATGAGTGTGGCTGTACAAATGTGGCTTTGAAATGTTTTTCTTGAACATCACTCTCATTTTTCCCTCTGCACTTAGATTTACAAGATTTACATCAAAAAGTTAACACTGACAGCTTCATCTACTGGGATCTCTTTCTGTTTCAGAGGATGTTGAAAAAAATCCTCCTCCTCATATTTCTGCCAATCTCCCAGTGGCACAAACCCCAATCTGAATTGTCTAATAACTGATCCATGCGGTTTAAAGATTTTTAGTTCAGACCAGAAAAATATCTTACCAGATAAGGAATAGCCAGACCCTTAAAATTCTCTATTAAGAAGCCAAGCACTCGGTCTCGCGGCAGAGACTCCACCTCCGGGAGGTCTTCAGTAAATATCTGTCAGAAGAAACCTGAGTTCAAGCAGCAGAACCATCTCACTGCGATGCTGCCAAATGCACATGCACATGCAGGGAGAGATCAGGTGTTCAGACTTGGTGAGGAAAGGGTGTGCTGTAGTGAGCTAGTGAGTGGCAGGCTAGGTCTCAGGCCTCCTGATGTCTGTGCAAGGCCCTTTCCTCTACACTACATTGCTGTTGCAGGTTTCCCCATCTACTCTTCTGAACAGCAGATAAATTGGAGGAATCTTTCCTCCCCCTCCAATATCACCATCCTAAGTAGAATCAGGACCACCTATGGTTCCAGATAAATTCAGGGGACTCCCATGACCTACCTTCAGGCCATCCTCTGGGAAGTCTCTCAGCACCCACACCGAGTAGGAAAAAATCAAATGCAGGTTTTCTGTGCCTAGAAAGAAAAGACAGACTTGTCAGCAGGTAAAGTCCACTGAACTGCCCACAGGACTGGGAAGGCCAGTGCACAGGTTGCCCAGAATTTACTCTCAGGTAAGAGAGCTCCATCTAAGTGCTAGTCACTCAGGACTGTCTGGCTGTCCTGGGCAGGCTATATACCAAAAGGCTGTCATGGTTCTACCACTAGGGACTTTTACCCCAGCTGGAGGCCGTCAAAGTCATGTGAGCCCAAAGGAGAGAGGGGACTGCCCAGCAAGAATCAGAAAGGAGGGGGACTGGGTCCATGTGAACACAACCCCTTCCCCACTCCCCTCTTGAATGCTGGACACACCCAGATGTTGCAGATATTGCACCGTCCGCTCATGGCCCTTCAGAGGAGAGTTTGCTTTCTTGGACTGGTCCACCAGTACCTGCAGAGCTGGCCGGGAAGCCCAAGAACAAGGTCATGAGCCTCTTTGGGAGGCGCACCCCCAAGGGGACTTATCACACCCAAGCAGGTTTCCCCTGTCAATATACAGGAGCCCCACTCAGATCAGAGAGCCCCTCCTCTGGTCACCTTTCTCGTGGAGCCCCTTCTTCTCATACAGGATTATTAGCTCACTGTACTTGTGGGCCTTCTTCAGCACGTGCTCGCTCTCTTCGATGTGGCAGTGATTGTTCTCCAGGCGCAGCAAGGGGGCCACCAGGGCCACATTCGTCTGCAGAGGAAGTGGCACTTCAGCAGAAACTGCTTCCTGGGGAGCCCTACTCTGACCTCGCCCAGGCATGCTTCAGGCTGAAAGGCTAGGGATGCAACCCAAGCAAGAGAAGGTAAACAACCCCTTTTTGGGACTACAGGTAGTGGCTTTTATAACATTATGCTCTTTCACACAACATGTTTTCTTGTTTTTTGTGGACATTTTCTTTGAGGAAATACTGCCCCTGTTCACCTTGTAGCATTAATCCCAATATTATCAGAGAGGACCAGCCCACTGTAAGATTCTGGGTCAATACCTTGCTTTCCTCTTAATTCCAAGCTGTTCACAAGTGTCAGGCAAAGACTAGGTGGTTCCCATAATCAAAGATTCACTCTTACTGGTGGAAGGTACTCCAAGGTGGCACCTGTCCAGTTTCAGGGGACTTGGGGATTGTGGGTGCCCGAGTGCTTGAAGAACTCACATGGAGGTAGCACTTGAGCAGAGTGGTGTCAATGATTTGCAACAGTTTCTTCTTGGATTTGATGGTGGGAGTGCCTTCCATGAGCGGGGAGGTGCTAGACTGGTGATCAGAGTCATTTAGCTTCTTTACCAATTGACTTCGTTTCTGCAAAGGCCAAAAATATGGGTTCAAGGCCAGAACTAAATCTTCCTTTATTACCTGAGCTGAGCTACCAGGGAATTCCAAATACCTACAAATCAGCTCACACCTATTCACCCTGATCTCCCATTAGTATACAGTTTTTTTTATTAAGTTATCATTGATATACACTCTTATGAAGGTTTCACATGAAAAATAATGTGGTTACTATATTCACCCATATTATCAAGTCCTCCCTCATACCCCACTGAAGTCACTGCCCATCAGTGTAGTAAGATGCCTGAGTCACTACTTGTCTTCTCTGTGCTACACTGTCTTCCCCATGATCCCCCACATACCATGTGTACTAATCGTAATACTCCTCAATCTTCTTCTCTCTCCCTCTCCACCCACCCTCCCCTTTGGTAACCGCTAGTCCCTTCTTGGAGTCTGTGAGTCTGCTGCCATTTTGTTCCTTCAGTTTTGCTTCGTTGTTAGCATAGGATTTTTACCAGGGATCAAAATAGATGACTGCCAAATTGCCACAGATAGATAGCAATTATTCACTAAGTATTTGCCACACATAGTAATTATTTACTAAGTATTTGCAAGCACTTTGTATATTAACCTCTTTTAAACCTAAAGCAAGTGCAAGTATTATTATCTTCATTTTACAAGAATCCAAGGCACAGTTGTTAGATATCTCATAATTGGCAGAGGCAGGTTTCAAATTATGGTCTTATTCCAAAGCCCCTGTTCTTTTTTTTTTTAAATCAACTTCATTGAGGTGTGAGTTACATACAATAAAATGTGCCCTTTTAAATTACACTATTAGATGCATTTTTGACAGATATGTACATGCATGTAATCACCACCCCAATCAAGGAACAGAATATTTCTATCATCCCATAAAGTTCCCTAGTTCTTGTACCCCTTACCCCACTGATCTGATTTCTAGCACTAGAGATTAGTTTTTACCTAGTCTAGAGCTTCATATAAATGGAATCATCCAATCTGTATTATTTTGTATCTCGCAATGGCCATGGTCTTATATGCTCTACCATCTCTCTGGCACAATACCAGTGTCAGGTAACTTCACACATTCCACATGTCAGTGGAGAAGGTCAGGGAAGAATATATGCTTAGAGTCCTAAAGCTAAGACAGTGGCAATGGAGGGTCTTCTTTAATGCCACAGGCTTGGGAGACAATTTGCCCCAGAAGTTTTTTTCACTTGGCATGTGGACCATGGAAGTAAGTTTGTGAGCTCCTTACAGGCTGCCAGCCACAAGGTTACCACCAGAGCCCAGTGTCAAGGAAGCACCAAAGCTGTTCATGCTTGGTCAGACCCGTAGGACACTCACTGACCTAGAAGCAGGGAGTGGGAAGCCATCGTACAATTTTCCTAGCAGCACTTCTCGGTGCCTATCCAGAGGACCCCTTATAAAAGTCTGCAGAATACTTAAGGGGAAAAAATATACTTAGTTCACTATGAGTGGGTGCAAAGGAAATTAACATAGCCTTCTGTGACAGAAATTTGGGGTTAAGAGGCTTCAACAGAGATACTAGTTTTAGTGTTGACTTGAAAAGTTCAATTATCTGTCCATAACAGTAAACTGAAAAAAAAAAAATCTAAATGCAAAAAGAGAAAATATAAAATTTAGAGTCCTGAAGAGAGGACTTTCCCAATGTATGACTAACTTTTTAGAAGTATGCTATAAAACAATATATAGTTTGATATCCATTTCTAATTAAACAAAAACCAATTCATATATACATATGTAAGTCTGGAAGGACAGCACTAAAATTTAGTCTCTGGGTGGCAGAGTTATAAGTGACTTATATTTTTGCTTTATACTTTTCTGTTTTCCAAGTTTTCTGCAGAGAGCAGGAATTTTTTCCAAAAGTATGTATCTAAAAAAGTTTGTTTTTCAAAAAGCATTCTTTTCTATCAACTAAAGTTCACTCTTTTTAGCTCCTGTATGAATTAGTATGAATTATCAGGAAGTGAGTGTTTCCCGGTATCAAGATTTGGCAAAAAAATCCACCCAGCTCCATGGTACTGTTGACAAGGAGATGAAGCTGAAAGAAGTGTGCCCACCTAGACTTCCACAGTGTCCATCTATGAAAGGCCTGAGGCATTAAGGTAAGGAAGGCCCCTATTGTCCTGCCACAGGGAAGTAGGTACTGGAACTCCCAAGCAAAGGCTTCCACGCACCTCTGTGTCATACCTACCTGTGTCAAGTAGTCAATCAGAGCTAAGTGAGCCTTCTCCAGCTCAGCTCCGGAGAGCACGGGCAGTGGGTTAGGGTATTGCAGCTGCTTCCGGTAGTCTGTGGGCAGCAAGTCCGGGTACAAGCCCATCACATGGGTAGGATCTACATGGAAGGTAAACGTGATTCCCAGCAAGGAGCTCAGGAATGTAAGGATAAACTAAACCAAGACTGTTACTACAGCAAAGTAAGTTCCAGACTTTTTTTAAAAGGAATGACTCTTAAGTTCATAAAGCCTCAATGACCTATACACCTATAGTTTGAGCACTACTGGTATGTTTATTTCACAAAAACATTACAAAAATAGCATGACTAGATTCTAAAACATAAACACATATGCACACACAGAATTAGAATGAGAGTTTATTAACTCTAAAAGTACAGGAGGAAAAATTTCCCAAGGAAAAACAGGTAAGACATTAAAGTTAAAAAGATCAATAGACTTCAAAATTAAAAAATTGTATGTCAACACAGGATTATTACTAAAACAAAAAGACCAGACAACAGGCTAGGATACACATTTGCAGCACATATGGCAAGAGGCTGATAAGTTAATTAGATAAAATAAATTCATACAAATTATTAAAAAAAATAAGATTTCATTTGATAAACTGACAAGACATGAACCACTGGTAAGAACATATAAATAAGTGGGAAAACGTTCTGTTACATTAAGAATCAAAGAGCTATGCATCAAAAATGTCAGAGATAATATTTTTATATCTATTTAATTCATTAAAAAATTATATCTATATGATAACTACCCAGCGCTTTCAACATTATGGACTGAATCACTCTTTCACTGCTAAGGCCCCAGCACTGCGATGCTCTAATAACACTTGTAAGAATTTACCCTGAGAAAACGATCTAAAAGATGAGGAACAAAGCCATATCTGAATGAACAGGGAATGTTACAAGCATTATTTGTAACAACAAAATTTTGGAACAATGTGGAATTCCTTCAACAGCAAAATAAAGTATTTTTCATTCAACTAACAGACTACTATGCAATCATTACAAATTATAATTAGGAAGGGCACATAGCAACATGGAAAAATGCTTTAACAATTCTAAGTAACAAAAGCTAGAGAAATGTATACGATTAGGATTATAATTATGTTAAAACGTAGAAATGTAGAAAAGGCTTGGATGAGGAATAGACAAAATGAGAGTCAAGGCTGGATCTAGGATAAGCTTTTTCCTTTAACATCTTAATGAATTTTGTGTACTAGCATTACTTTATTTTTGCTTTTTAAAAAAGTGGAGGAACATAGGAAGGCCACATTCCTTTCATAATGAACCCAAGTTCATTCTTCATTCAACGAAGACAAAGGCTGCATAGCCTTGCCTTGACCCCTCCAGAACCTGCTCAACCCCTAGTCACCTGTGTCTGGCCACAAAATTTCTGCCAAGCCAGAAAGACCCTGTTCCTCAAGATGAAGAGAATCATAATAATGTGAAAAAGATACTCATGAGAAGGAGCCACTGACCAGGACAGGTGGCAGTTCTACATAGGAGCTGCACAGAAGCGCAGTCTGAGAAAGAAGATGGCCACTGAGGACCCTAAATGAAGGCGTGGGTTTCTGTGGAGGCCTCACCTGCCTGCCACCATGGTGTGTGTCTGCCCACAAGACTCTAATCATACTGTTCTACTTTAACTTTGTGATGTCACCTGTAGCCTACAAAACAAAGTCCAAACTCCTGTGCAGCATTCAGGGTCCTCTAAAATTTGGCCCCAACATCTCTTTCTAGTGTGACCTATCAAGTCTCACAAACGTCACACTGGGCTGTGCACAGGCCCTCACACATGGCCAGGTCCTCCTGCTGCCACACCTTTCTTTACACTCCATTTTTCCTTCTTATCCTCTGGGGCCTGGTTGCCTTCTCTCCCTTCCTCCTGGGCAGCCCTCCTCACTACTTCCCTACACTCCTGTAGACCTTTTCTGCACTTACCCCAATGTTTTACTTAATGGTTTTGCATGCAAACTCTCTGTGGACATAACCTGTCTCTCCTGAAGCGCAAGACAAAAGGCGGAGCTGGCATTGACGGTGCTTATCTGATTTGCCTTCATGGCAATTCATTCTGAGTCCAGAGTTGTTCTACACATTGAATGCCAGAACAGTGTACACATCTAATTAACAATGGAATTATATCCCTTATGCAAAAAAAAAGGCTACAGACCAACTCTGCTCTAGCCACACAGGTCTGGTTGCTCCTTGAACATACCAGGCATCCTTCCAACCTCACTGCCTTTGCACCAGCTGTTTCCTCTGCCCAGAATACTCTTCCCCAGACATCTCCATGGCTCATTAAATCAACTCCTTCAAGACTGAAACACTCCTCAGAAAGGACTTCCCTCACCATTTTATCTTAAATTGCAATTCTAACTCCTATCTTCAGTACTCCATATCCCTTCTCTTGTTGTATTTCTCTTGGTACTTACCACTTCCCAACATACTGCAATTTTGCTTATTTACTTTGTCTGCCACCACCCCATCAGAATATAGGCCCCACTTCTTGGCACCTAGGAGTCTTCAGCACAAAGTAGAAGCTTGATAAAACTTTTTGTTGAGTTAAAAAATAAGTGAGTAAATGATATTTATTTGAACCAATTACTCCAAGGCTCGATTTCAAGTTCTAAATATACATTCCCAGAAATATAAGAACTATCTCATTCACACACTTGCCATTGCACACCATCCCACCCAACCACCAACACCCCCAAATCCCAGGGCCTCAATGCAATGAGTTTTTTCATCAAGCCCTCAGGCAAGTATCTACAGCACTTGCCTTTCTACCTTGCGTTAGAGCTTTTTATATACAAATTATAGGCTGCCACAAGGAAATAACTTCAAAATAGGGTTCTTAAACATTTGTAGGATCTTAAGACATCTTATAAGAATATGATGAAAGGTATTGATCCTCTCTCAAAAAATACCCACATTTGGACAAAATTTTACATTGAATCTAGGATGACTCAGAGACTTACAAAGTCTGCACAGGTCCTATGTCCCCAGTGGGTACAGATAGACAGAGCTTCCTCCTGACTCATCCCTTAAGTGGCAGAAATATGACACTCTTACTAGGGACCTATCTGTGGGACACAGGAAAAGGAGGGGCAGAAAAGCAAACCTGGGCCCCATCCATCCTGCACTACAGGCAGGCCCTTCTCTGGCCCAGCAGGAACATGCTTCTACAAAACTTCCTTTTGCTGTTAATTCTGTGCCTCCAAAGCAGTTTTCTGACTTGGCATCCCAGGCACACACTGTTTTGTTACAACCTGAGTTTCTTTAATGTGAATTAGCTCATACACAGTTGGTAGGAGAAAGATGTCAGGATGAGGCAAGAGTTGTGTTGGCTTGTATGTAATTTTCCCCAGCTTGTTGATGTTCTGAAGTGACCAAGAGCAAGCTCTCTCACGATTAAAGAAAAACCCTTAACTATACAGAAGACTGAAAGTAAAGAGAGCCAAAAGCCCTATAGAAGCACCCTCTTTTAGCGCAAGTAGCGACTGGTTAGTAGCTTCAAAAACCACTATACTTTCTAAAAGTTAAGCCCTTTGGGGAAGCTGGGAGTAAAAATGAAACAAAGATGTTTCTCCCCATATTAATTTTTGGGAGGGTCTCATAAAGAAGTCTATGCTCAGGATTAGATTTTTTACTTTGATGAAAGTAGTTTCTATAAGTAAATGTTCTCAAAGATCTGTATCTCAAAGGAGAAAACAAGATTCCCAGGATTTAAGCCTGCAGAAGACAATTATGTTGGGAACCAATACAAGAATGAACTTAATTTTAGTAGGACTGTTACTGTTTTTATTAGTGTTTTGCTTACAAAGTTGCTTAAGTTCTGAGTAGACTGCTCTAACCTTATTTTTGGAGACCACTCCAACCTTATTTTTCCCACAAACCCTGGTATTTTCATATTTGTTACAGAATATAAGGCTTTGTAGGACCACATTTAAGGCATAGCAAAAATGGCTGTTCCTTACTATACATTTAGAGAAAGGGTGTCTTGGGTCCCATGTATGACTATCTGGCCATTGGAAAGGGATCTAGCCTCCCTACCATAAATAAATAAAGGGATATTCTGTTAATACATTAGTCTCATGCAATTTTGATCAGGGTCAGACTGTCACCAACCATCAGTCAGATGCTCTCTGGATGTGGTAAGAATATTCACTTCTGGACCTGACGACCATACCTTAGACTGAGGCCAGTCAATGGAGATGCTGCCTGAGGTCCAGTCAATAGCTAGCTGCCCCACAGACTACACCACCACCAGCACACATCTGCTTCTGTTGCTGGTAGAGGTCCACCTGTGTCTTATATGCCCTATTACACTGCTCTTTGAAGGCAGAATTCCTTTCTAATCATTTTTGCTTGGAGCCCAGAAGAGTGTACTTTCAGAGTTTATTTGTGAAATGAATGAATTAAAAGGTAGCAGCTTCATTAGCATTGACTTCAAAGCTTTAGGATTGGGGTTCAAGTTATAAATGATATATAGAAAAACGGTAAAGATCTTATGGCAGTTCCAGCTTATTCCAGCATCTTTCCAAGGAGCAGGTGGTACACTGAAAATAAAAGCCCTAACTGAGTTCATTCAGAGGAAGAATGGTAGATATTTATTGATTTCAGGTTGCCTAGCTTCTAACCCCTTCTTAACAGCAACTTATTTCCTTTTGGTGAGCTCTCTCTTCCACACCACATGTAGTTTTGGTGGGAGAATAGTTCTAGGCATTTACCTTTGCTTTCAGAAGCAGACAGGAGCCACAGCCTCTTTACCCTACCCAGTAAAGTCAGAGGGAGTGAGACCATGACCCAATCCTGGCCAATCAGATCCCCTTGATCTTGAGAAAATGAGCCAAGGATGCCAAGCAGTGTGGCACCCACCAACATGTATCCCAGCCCACATGTTTCTTTGACATAACGTTCAAGCTCCTCCACCAAGAGGTGGGGGGTCTGTGTTCCTTTGCCTTGAACTTGGTAGGCTCTCGTGAGTCAACAGAAAATGGTAAAGGTGACTGTCATAAAAGGCACTGATTGAAGCCTCCACCTAGGCTTCTTGGATTGCTCACTCTGCATGAGGACACTCAAGCAACCCCACGGAGAGACCTCCCTGAACAGGAACTAAGGCCCCCAGCCCACGACCAGCTTGTTAGCTAGCAAAGTGAGCCACCCTGGAAGTGGATACTTTAGCCCAGTCCAGACTTCAGATGAAGGGAGGCCAGCCAACACACAACAGCAACCATGTGAGAGATCCCACACAAGAAATGCCCAGCTCAACTCTTCCCAAATTCCTCCCCAGCAGACACCAAGAGAAATAAGAGGTGATTCATTATTTGATGCCAAGTTTTGCAGTGACTTGTTACAAGCTGGCAGGGGGCAATTTTTACTGAGGATCCAACAGCACAGGGGCTGGAGGCAGCAACAGCTATGGATATGGTTGTGCCAGTGGAGGGCGGCCCAGCCTGTCCTGGCTACAGAGGAATTACTGTCCAGCTTACTGTCTCCTGCTGGTGGTCCTCCAGAGTTCCCTCGGTTAACTTCCCGAGCCTGGTCTTCCATTAATTTTGAGTGACCCTCTACCTGCCATTCTCCTAATATTCCAATAAACCATGCTTCATTTACCCAGATGCTCCTTAAATTGCCCACAGTTAGTTTCCACTGCTTACAACCAAGAACCTTAACTAATATAGGGAGTCACCACAGTTTACTATTGGCCAACATTGAGGGAAACTTGAAAAAAGGCAAAGCAAAGAGGAAAAAAAGAAGAGACAAATAATGATATAGAGTTAAACCAAGTATATATAAATTGATCTAAATTAAGCAAAAATGGAATATTCAGAAATAAAAAATTTAGTAATAGCAAACACTGGCATTTATGAAGTACTACACACTGTTCTAAGCACTTTACTTAATCTTCACAGCAATACTATGGGGTAAATATTATTTTGTCCTATTTTGCAGAGGAGAAAACAAGCACTGAGGGATCAGTAACTTTGCCTGAGGTGGGGCGGTCCAACTCCAGATTACCTGCCTCTCAGCATGATGCTCTAATGTCTAGGGAGTTTTTAGGATGCTCAGAAAAGGAAGGGCTTCATGGCACTGCCCTGTGTGGGTCTCAAATGTAACCTTCTGTTTTTATCCTAAGCTTAGGTCAGAGACTTTTGTCTAGAACAGCATTCAATAAATACTAGATGACTGAATACACATTTGCTAACTTGAATAACTTTTTGTTATCTTTTTCTAATGGCAAGGGCAAATTATCCTGGAAAACTGGAAATCTGTATTTATGGGTGAGACCAGATTTGTAAGATGAGGACTGTAATACATAACCACCATGGCCACCTGCAAGATCCTGTTAGGTATGAGGATCACTTTAGATGAGCATAAACTTCCCCACTCTTGGAAGTCTGGTATTATTTTTTCCCGTCCTTTCCAATTTCCCCTCCCTCCATTAGTTCCTTATCCCAAGGCCATACCCACTTGTTACCTGTGCCAAGCTTAGCAAAGACCTGCATGGACTCATCAAAACGCTTCTGGCAGAAGAGGTTGAAGGCATACAAGTTCTTGATATGATGGATCTGCTGCTGCTTTTCACTGTCAGAATCATCTTTCATTTCCTAATAAGAGAGTGGAACAGGTAAGCTCACTCACTCAACAAACATTTATTCAGTATTTACTAAATACTAGACAACTTCCTAGGAGATACACATGCCAATGTGTACAAGACAGCCACATGGCATCTACCCTCACAGACTGTCCTTACTTTCTAGCCATAAGAGTACATAAGTATGCAATTAAAATACAACAGGGTTTCTGTAAGATACCTGACCAGTAACCCCCAAAACTTTCAAGGTCATAAAAAACAAGGATAGACTAAGAAATAACAGATCAAGAGGACATTAAGGACATACACAACTAAATGCAGATTTCTTGATTTGAAACTGGAATAGAAAAAAGAACATTAATACAAACACTAGTGAAATCTGAATAAAGTATTGAATTTAATTTAAAAACAACAAAATCAAAACCAAAACAAGATGGTGTGTGATGACAGATGACGTGGGAGGGGTATTCAGTTTAGTCTGTGTGGTAGGTCGGGGCAGAGTCCCAGGAGGAATGTAAACTAGATGAAGAGAAGCTGCTGGAGTTAGACAGGTGAGGCTGGGCAGGTGACAGATGGGAGGGGAAGAGGAGAGTGTGCCTGCCAAAGAGGACAGCACATGGGTAAGAGCGTAAAGTGACAGAAAGAGAACACAGTGTGCTCAAATAATGAAAGATATTTGATACGGCTGGCACATAAGACGGTTGGGAAAGGTCCTGAGAACAATAAAAATATCTGTTTATTATCTTTGCTTCTTCCTCGTAACCCTTTCCTCTTATATCCTTTTAAACCAGTCTTCACTACATTTAATTTCTTTCTACAAAATATCTCTCAACGTCTCCCCTCTTTTTCCTTTCCTTTTCTGTTGCCATCACCCTAGTCCAGACCATCGGCAACATGCGGCTATGCCTGGTCTACACTCTTGTGCTCGTGGCTTCACAGACTTTGAGAACCTGGCACAGCCTCCTCACCTGGCTTAGTCCCCAGCACTCAAGCCATACCCTCTGCTCCAGTCAAGATGGGTTCTAACACCCTGGGGATGCTTGTTTCCACATCTCTAGCTTCTCAGGGCTGTTCCTGCTCCTGATCTTACTTATCCTTCAAAGGGTCCAACCTTAGGGTGCCTATTCCAGTCCACAGGGAACTGTCCCTTCTCTAACCCTTTGTCAATACCGAAGTTCAGTATGTAACTGCTGTCTGAAAGTTTCATCTGTGTTTTTTGACATGAAGTCCTCTTTAAATAAAAGATAGTTTCCTCAAGCGCTAAGATGAAAGCAATTTTGTTTTGTCATAGGGAGAACACCTATGAAGTGCAAGGCTAGGAAAGAGAAGGAAAAATGGAAACCCACTTCCATCTTCTCTACTGAAGATTAAACAGATAACATGCAGCAGGAAAATCACTGAAAAGACCCCAAGACCTTCTTGTAAGGGAAAAGATACTAAAAAAGCTATGTAGTGCATGATATCCTTTTTATAAAGTTCAAAACCTAAATATATTCAAGTACACATATGTATGTAAAAGTTTAAACAAAAAAAAGTTTTAAAGGGCATGGTAAACACAAAATGTAGGATAATGGCTCTGTCTGGAGGAGAGGCATAGGGAAGGGATAGGGAGGAGCACATAGGCTTTAGGAGTTAATTTTTCTCAGGTAGGATGGTGGATTCATGGCCAATAATTATTTTTAAAATAAAAATAAAATAATACAGGGCAATGTGTGAGTGGGAAAAAAACAGTAAGATGCTGAAATTAAATGCTCCAAGAAAGAAACAAACTTTATGGGATATTAAACATGTCTGACTGTTAACACTGGACTTCTGTTCTAAATCCAGAACTTTTATATCCAAGATAAATGTTACTCTTCAAAAGTAATCAACATAGGCGATTATAAACGTGTGTTCCAATATTTGTGACCACTGCTTTCCTTTCAGAAATAATTCACAAAACATTCTAGAAACTAAGTTTTCCTACTATTATCTTCATAAAAATCTCTTACTCTTATATCCTTTTAAACCAGTCTTCACTACATTTAATTTCTTTCTACAAAATATCTCTCAACGTCTCCCCTCTTTTTCCTTTCCTTTTCTGTTGCCATCACCCTAGTCCAGACCATCGGCAACATGCGGCTATGCCTGGTCTACACTCTTGTGCTCGTGGCTTCACAGACTTTGAGAACCTGGCACAGCCTCCTCACCTGGCTTAGTCCCCAGCACTCAAGCCATACCCTCTGCTCCAGTCAAGATGGGTTCTAACACCCTGGGGATGCTTGTTTCCACATCTCTAGCTTCTCAGGGCTGTTCCTGCTCCTGATCTTACTTATCCTTCAAAGGGTCCAACCTTAGGGTGCCTATTCCAGTCCACAGGGAACTGTCCCTTCTCTAACCCTTTGTCAATACCGAAGTTCAGTATGTAACTGCTGTCTGAAAGTTTCATCTGTGTTTTTTGACATGAAGTCCTCTTTAAATAAAAGATAGTTTCCTCAAGCGCTAAGATGAAAGCAATTTTGTTTTGTCATAGGGAGAACACCTATGAAGTGCAAGGCTAGGAAAGAGAAGGAAAAATGGAAACCCACTTCCATCTTCTCTACTGAAGATTAAACAGATAACATGCAGCAGGAAAATCACTGAAAAGACCCCAAGACCTTCTTGTAAGGGAAAAGATACTAAAAAAGCTATGTAGTGCATGATATCCTTTTTATAAAGTTCAAAACCTAAATATATTCAAGTACACATATGTATGTAAAAGTTTAAACAAAAAAAAGTTTTAAAGGGCATGGTAAACACAAAATGTAGGATAATGGCTCTGTCTGGAGGAGAGGCATAGGGAAGGGATAGGGAGGAGCACATAGGCTTTAGGAGTTAATTTTTCTCAGGTAGGATGGTGGATTCATGGCCAATAATTATTTTTAAAATAAAAATAAAATAATACAGGGCAATGTGTGAGTGGGAAAAAAACAGTAAGATGCTGAAATTAAATGCTCCAAGAAAGAAACAAACTTTATGGGATATTAAACATGTCTATTAACACTGGACTTCTGTTCTAAATCCAGAACTTTTATATCCAAGATAAATGTTACTCTTCAAAAGTAATCAACATAGGCGATTATAAACGTGTGTTCCAATATTTGTGACCACTGCTTTCCTTTCAGAAATAATTCACAAAACATTCTAGAAACTAAGTTTTCCTACTATTATCTTCATAAAAATCTCTTCTCTTTTACCAAATCAGCACTATCTGGTTTAATGACTAGGTTAGGTTCAGAATGGCTTTTGTTTGTTTCCTAACATCAAATCCACCCTCTATAGATGACAATAATCACCACTGAGGACATTTAAAAGAAGACGACTCAGAAGTCAGGCTCCAAGAAGTGTGCTAGCAACGGGAGATCACAGTCACTATGCCGTGAACATTCCATCCAGACATTCAAGAAGAGTGACAGTCACAAATAGAAGTGTTGTAGCCCTGTTAAATGCAACTTGAGACAATTTCAGAATACCTAAAGAAGGCCTGCTTACCAAAAGCAGGAGTCCACTGGTGAAAGGATTCTGAGACACCCGTTAGTCGCTGCATTCAACCAGACGTAATCTTACATTTATGATTGTCACTTCAGTGTCTGCATTTTCTTTAATTTTCCAAGACTACACCATATCTATTAAATTAATTTATAGGCCTATTAATTCTATGAGATATTATTATGATAACTGGCATTCATTCTAATTTGATAGATAAACAAACTGGAAAAATGAAATCATTTAGAGTTATATAGCTATTTTATGGCAGAGTCAGACCCTGAATCCATGCCCCGACTTTTAGCTCTGTGCTTATTCTACTAGTCCAAACTAAATATGAACCTCTAAACCTGAATCACCTGCTTTGGAGAACCCAGAGGAAGGCAGACTCACACCCAAATCCCAAAACCAAGACTCACTGCAAGCTGCAGAGCCAATTCAAACTGCTTGTCCTGGAGAAGCTGTTGGATTTGGGTTGCCATGGGCACAGGAATGAGTCTCCAAACAAAATGATTGCTGGCCACATAGATAATGTTTGATCTAGAGGCAAGAGTAAGAGTATTAGCAAAAGAGCACAGGCTTTAAGATGACACAGGTACCTTTAAAGTTTTGGAATAATGTGGCAGCTACAGTAAAGAAAGGAATTCCTTACCCTCCTGAGGTAATGAAGCGGGGCCTCTGCAATTCAATGCTCTGGACCAGAAGCCTTGGCTCCAGGGTTCGGATCTCCACGTATCGAGGCAACACTGCAATGATGTAAGGAGGCTGGTGCTCTGGGCAAGAGAGAACATCTTAAGTTGCAGTTGTGGTCTAAGGCTTTAGGTCTGTGGACTCTTTCAAATTCCCATTTCTAGGCTGTACTGAAATGAGATCTCCAAAGAGTCCACTAGTCAAATACCAAGCCAGTATCCTACACTGTGATATACAAAGAAAAAACTGTCTAAGGATACCTAAATGGATGCATCCAGCTTTGCTAAGAGTGACCTGATCCCATTCCTACCGTTTCCCCCAAAGAACTGGGTGACAGCTTCACTTTTCCTGTCCTTCTCAGACACAAAGTTAGGCCAGGTAAAAGCCACTTGAGCCACCCCAAACAACGTATCAGAAGGAGAACAAGGTTACATAACCTCTTCTTTCATTCTCTTAGAAAGGGCAAGAGGAAGGCTACTTCTTTTTTCCCTAAAATTATGCTAAAGAAAGAACTCCACATTTCTGGCCAGTGTTTTCTGCTTGAGGTCTGCACATGGAAAAGATGCAAAACTCCACTTGATGCTTACTGGCTCACAGAGAAGGCAGCTCAGTGTGGCTGCTTTCTACCACTTATATGAGGTTTGCAGAGTGTCAACTTCATAGAAACCGAAAGCAGAATGGTGGTTGCCAGGGACTGGGGGAGAGGGAATGAGTACAGAATTTTAGTTCTGCAAGATGAAAAAGTTCTGAAATCTGTTGTATAACAATGTGAATAACATACTTAACACTTAAAAATGGTTAAGATGACAGAGTTTCTGTAATGTG